TCAGTTGTTGATGGCGTCGGCGGTGAGGGCGAGCGAGGACAGGACAGAGCGCCGCGTGGGACTGACGCCAAGGTTCTCCCAGTTGATCCAGGACAAGCGGGCGGTCAGGTCTGTGGGCGAGGGAGCATGTGTATATAAGGGTGAATTTAGGGTGTAATCTAGAGTGTTTGATACTTATTCGGGATCATTCATAAAGGGTAAAGGAGGATAGAAAGGATTTAAACTTCTAAGTGTACGGGATTCTTTTACTGCAATGTGAGCTTTGAGGATTTATATTTGTATAATGTGAAAAAATATATTAGGGATCTTGACAACGTAGCTTAACAGTCGCCTCAAGATAGAGAAGATTTTCAGACGTGTTTGTTAATAAAGTCTAATCTATCTTCCTAGAAATGGACATTATTTAAAGAGGAAGTTGAAGAGGACGCGAACCTAAAAAATATTAGCACTATCTGCGAACAAGAGGGAACTGAAACAAACCGGAGGGTAACTGAGGGCTGTAGAAGAAATGCACTTTAATTTGTTAAAATTCTTATGAGGTCCTACCAACAGCAAACAAAGATTGCATTGGGAAACGGATTGCGAATAAATGAATCTTTGGTTAAAACAGCTCCATGAATTTGCGAAAGGAACATCGCAAAATTTATGGTTTTATAGATACAATTGATTATTTCTGCACTGTCGATTACGAAAACAAAGCATCAGCTGCGCATTGAATCCTGCTGAGAAGTGATTGCAGCACACCTAAGGCCACAAGCCTTAATTAAGCAACGGTCACACTACTCTTCTTTGTCCAGGGATCCCTCAATAGCAACGCCGAGTTTTGTTCAGCTACAGAGCAGGACTGGCCCCTCCATGGAAAAGAGTCCACAATAACCTGGATAAACAGTGCATCGGATATAGTAGTGGTTTCTATGAATATCATCACATATCAATTGAAATTATAACAGCCAATCCACCCATTTTATTAATTATCGTACATCATACAAACTTGTCGATACTTCATATTTCAACAAAAACAGGTTATCCGACAATATTCTTTCCAATAGCATATATCACTATCAGTGTAATCGATAGTGTACGAGATATTTAATTATGGGCTGATGAACATTTAAGATAGGAGGAAGCAAATACTATAACTGAAAATAAGTAAATTGTCAACGAATTATAACTTGCTGTCATAAATATTACTTATTTTTACAGTAGAATCAAACGTAATATGATATAATAATCACCGTTTGGACAATCAAGTGATTAGCTTCCTAATAATTATACTACAGTTTTTATTTTGGTATTGCCTTTCCCTCTCTAGCTGGGACGAAAGACCAACACAAAGGTACCGCGCTGGGCAGGGTTTTTCATCTCGCTTCTCTATATAGCTCGAGAAGTATCCTCCTCTATAAAGGGATCTCTGGACAAAATCGATTAGTGGGACCAGCCCTTCAAACTACGCCGCGTCAGCCATACCAAGCTATACTTCAGGCTACTCACCGCTCGTGTTCCACATGTGGCACTGATCCGAGGGCAGCTCCCCCCTCAGGCCCTTCTCGATGTGCGTGAGGGGGTCGAGCTCGGAGGTGAGCAGTTCCCGAAGGAGGGCGATGTAAGCGATGGCCAGGCGGAGGGTGTCGATCTTGCTGAGGCGTTTCTCGTAAGGGAAGGTCGGCACGCGTGTCCTCAGCTCCTCGAACGCTGAGTTTATACTGCTGGGGGAGGAGGTGGTGCGACTATTTTAACAACGATGAGTTATCGTGGGAGGGAGCTGGTCGAAATCCACATGCAGGATGAAGATGTTGTATCTTAACCCCAAGATGTATATTGTAAACTTAAGAAGAAGAATAGTGTACATATGTTTGAATACCCTTGGTGTCTTTTCTGGAACGGCTAATCTAGAAATGAAAATCATCTGATAAATGCCATAGAATTTCTTGGCAGGTTAATTTATAAACTACAGTCACCTGTTTTTGAGAGGAAAATGTAAATCTTTAGTTTTTTTTTTCTCTTCCATAATTTCCTTATCCTCTTCTTTTAATCATCCGCGTGCGTCTTGCCACAAAAGAGTGGTTCTGAGTACCAAAAAAATAGCCTATTTGGGGTAATAATTTACATGGCAGGAGATAAATCCGTATTAATATGACGGACTAATGCGTCGAATCTTGCTAGGTAGCGTGCGTGGTGTAATTTATGCTTATTACATTCGTTTTAGAATATTAAAAATCGTTCAGTCAGTGAATCCGATGACCTAATGACTTCTTCTGGTACTTTTTATTTGACATCTGTTAACCAAGTGAACAGTGACTATTTTATTTTGTTATCAATCTTACTGCATGCATTGTATATAAATAAAAGTGAATCTTTGTTTTTTTTTCTGTGCCTTTATATCACATCTCATTCTTTCTTTTTCCCCATGAGAGTGAAGTGGTAAATAACAAAACAGAAGGTAGCATTATATGAAGTAATTTAATAATCACACCCTTACACATCTGCTAGTTGTGTATTGAATATCGTGTGACAAATCATAGGGAATAAACATGTTTTTCATTACTTACTTGACTTCACATTTTTATGAATAAAAGTATTATTAATGATAGTAGTTAGGAACACCCTTGCATCTGTACTTTTTCCTTAGTTTTGCGTTATTAATTCATGTATCAGGACAAATTATTTCTCTTTCATTAAAGTGACTCAGATGAAGATAATACAAGATAGATAAAATGAAATAAAAAATCATATTACGAATACTTAGGCTCAATAATAACTAACTAATGGTAATGTAAATGATCTAAAAAGTACCATGCAGTTACGTAAAAAAAATATACGACTATATTTTCATTTTGAAGTTGAAAAGTTCGTTCTTTGTATGTACACAATGTGAACAGGTCTAAGTCATACATCAGTTCGCACAATAACCCTTAAACACAGTCATATAACTTGATAAACTGATTAAAGGATAAAGGATGAAAGAAGGTAGTCTGAAGAAATTAACACTCACTCACACAATAACGTAGGGGTAGAGAAAAAAAGTGATGAATTCCTGATAACCGCCATAGAAAAAAAAAACATAAAAACATATAAAATAAATGTTACAACAATGCAGTAAATAAGCATTCGGAGTTTATTATAGGACACGATTCCGCAGAGAATTAGTATATAAGCAATGCGATTCCATTTTGTTTTCCGGTGTACGCTTTCTCTGCACTTGAGATACATTCGGTGATGCTTTTTTTCACGTGGTTTCTGTCTCTGCAAATAGCTGTTTCTTAATTTAAGTTTTGATTGTAGTGTATACTTATGCATGTAACTGGAAGGCATGTGGATTTGCATGGTGATAGAAATATATATATCCGAAGTGCAACAATTTATTAATCGTTAATAATTTTATAAACAAAGATGCTTTAATGCATTATTAAAATTTGTTTAGTTCTTATTTTGTCTTAGAGGCTTATACATACATATATATAAACACACACAAACACACACATGCACGCTCACACACACACACACACACACACACACACACACACACACACACACACACACACAAGCACAAACACACACACACTCACACACACACACACACACACAAGCACAAACACACACACACTCACATACACACATGCCGATGGCTTGTCTCAGAAGAATATACACAAGAATGAAACTGAAATAAATAGAGTAACATATATTTTCATCAATGCCAACGATTAATGGAAAATTACAGTTAATTACATCAATAAAACTGGTCAACGGTCAACAAGATGTCGCTTAGGTAGAAAATTAATAGAATCCGTCAGCAGTAACAGATCTGTCGTATGGAAGAAGGAGCTATTGGAAGGGAAAGAAATAAGTTGATTGGTTGATTTATCATTTACAAAGAGAGAGAGAGAGAGAGAGAGAGAGAGAGAGAGAGAGAGAGAGAGAGAGAGAGAGAGAGAGAGAGAGAGAGAGAGAGAGAGAGAGAGAGAGAGAGAGAGATAAAAGGGGGGGGGGGGGGAGATCGACGTCGTAATAACCCGCGAAACAAAATGAAATCACCTATATATATATATATATATATATATATATATATATATATATATATATATATATATATATATATATATAAATATATATATATATATATATATATATATATATATATATATATATATGTATTCATATATATATATATATATATATATATATATATATATATATATATATATATATATATATATATATATATGTATATATATATATATATATATATATATATATATATATATATATATATATATATTTATATATATATATATATATATATATATATATATATATATATATATATATATATATATATATATATATATGTAGCAGAGGTAATAAAAATAATACAGAATATGATAAATACTGTACATTGTGCCTTTGCGTTCTCTTTATGGTAATAGGAAAAGACGATGACCATAGAAAATGCTTTAAATGCGCGCCTTTCTTTTAACAAATGCTGACTCGATGTCCCAGCCTTTGATTAGAATTTCCAAAATGAATTGTTTGATAAGAAGCAAACACCGGGAGCTTGGTAAAGGCTGCGTAGATCCGTCACTCGTTTAAAGACTGAGAGATATGAAGACACATGTAAAATGTTGATCAGATCATATATATATATATATATATATATATATATATATATATATATATATATATATATATATATATATATATATATCCACACATCAGTTTTAATTCGCGGAAGTTAACCACGTTGACGGTTATCAATGATTTCCGCGGCTGCCGCTGCCTCCGCACCTCCCTGTCGGCGATCCAGCGAAAGGCCGACAAGCTGCCGCCAAATCCCGACGTCTCTGGCGATATTTCGTTATAAACAAAATGCTGTAATCGTGGTAGTATATTCGTATGCCATCAGCGTAATCTGTTGTAATTGATACAATTTTTCATATAATTATTCGGCAATATCCCTCGTTTTCTTTCCAAGCTTCCAGGTTAAATACCGCGGAGTCAAACCGTCGACGCGCTGCTTTTATTTAGAACGAGAAAAAAAAAACAATTATAAATAGACTAATTAATTGACCACAAAAAGAGGAAGGAAAGCATCACCTCTATCAAGGGTAACGTCAAGTGTCAAGTTATTCTATTATAAATCTTTCAACGGAACGGTCTGTAGCGCGATACTGTATTTTTTGCATGGCGCACAAACGCTACGGTAATGCATAATGCCAAGGAATATTTTTTTTCGGGATGAATTCTGCCATTTGAACTTTTAAGATCAATTGAAACCTAATGGGTACTTTTTGAATGGTATTTGACTACATATTCAGCTAAGTAAAGGATATTAAATGTAAAAAAAAAACGTGTTAATGATTCCCGACTTGTAAGTCTAGCTGCTCGACTATTAATGGAAAATACGATACGTAACGATAAAATGACAACTGTTTTAACTACTAGCATAAATAAAAGCCATAGTAAATGTGTCTAACCAAAATTTAAAACCAAAAAACTCGTGTGGGTCAATGGTTACATCTGAGCGGCACCTTAGCGCTACAGACCGTTCCGTTCGAGTCACTTATGTTAACACTGTTTATCTATTTGTTTATTATACCTATCACATATTTGTTTTGTTTTTGTTTGTTTACTTATTTATCCATTAAACTTTTTACTTATTTATTTTGTGTTTCTTTATCTAGTCATTCATTTTTGTTTTCTTATTCATTCAACTTTTTGCTCATTTATTTGCTTGTTTTTTAATCTTATTTTTCCCCTTTTTATTTATCTTTTTTTTTTCTATCCTCTAAGAATCTTCGTCTCTTCCTGAATCCTACACGAAGGCAAAAGGAGGGACTCTCTCATCCTTCACACGTTCACTGAAGCATCCTCTTCCTTCCCCTGAAACCCACATTATTTCAGAACTTCACCTGCGCATCCTGAAAAATACCCTGTTCACCTGCACCTTTCGCGCACTCACCTGTTCATGCTGTTCACTTCACCCTTCTTGCACTCACCTCATCATGCTGTTCACTTCGCCCTTCTTGCACTCACCTGATCATGCTGTTCACTTTCACCCTTCGCGCACTCACCTCATCATGCTGTTCACCTTCACCCTTCGCGGACTCACCTGTTCATGCTGTTCACCTTCACCCTTCATGCACTCACCTTAGCATCCTCTTCCTCTCCCTAATGTTCGCTGCGTGGCGCTGGACTCGGTAGGGTGAGCCGGCAGGGTAATAGGCATCATCACCTTCATCACCTGCGGAAGGGGAAAGGGAGGATGAGGATGATAGTGATGCTAGTGTTGATTAGGATGAGAAAAGAGGGTTAGGATGGGGATGATGGTGACGGCCATGTTGATTAGGATCAGAAGGAAGGATGATGATGAAGATGATAGTGATGCTAGTGTTGATTCTGTTGAGAAGAGAGGACGAGGATGATAGTGACGGCCATGTTGATTAGGGCCAGAAGAAATGGTTAGGATGAGGGTGATAGTGACGGCCATGTTGATTAGGATCAGAAGGAAGGATGAGGATGAGGATGATAGTGATGCTAGTGTTGATTAGGATGAGAAGAGAGGATGAGGATGAGGATGATAGTGACAGCCATGTTGATTAGGATAAGAAGGGAAGGTGAGGATGAGGATGATAGTGACGGTCATGTTTATTAGGATCAGAAGGGAGGGTGAGGATGAGGATGATAGTGACGGCCATGTTGGTGTTGATTAGGATGAAAGGAAAGGGTTAGGATTAGGATGATGGTGAAGGCCATGTTGATTAGGATCAGAAGATAGGATGAGGATGATAGTGACGATAGTGAAGTTAGAGTGAAGTGGAGTGTTTAATACTGGTGATGAGGATATTGGTGATAGTTATAACGATGATTACAACAATAATGATAAAAGGAATGTTAAGAATAAATATGATAATAATGATGATAATGATAATAATTATAATAACAATAATGCTAATAATAATAATAATAATAATAATAATAGTAATGATAATAATAATAATAATAATAATAATAATAATAATAATAATAATAACAATAATAATAATAATAATAATAATAATAATAATAATAACAATGATTATCGATGGTGTTAATGATGGTAATGACGATGACGATGATGATAATAACAGTAACACCAACAACAAAATAATCTTAATCCTAATAATAATAATAATAATAATAATAATAATAATAATAACAATAATAATAGTAATGATAATAATAACAATAACAACAATAATAATAAATGTCATGATGAAACCTTAGAACACATCATATGTCCAGCTCTGGCGAAAAAAAGCAATGCTTTAAAAAAAAACACGACAAAACCCTAACTTACACACACTGAAAAATATACAAACACTATTTTGTCAAAATACAAGGAAATTACTGCTAATAGATCCGACATCGTGACTAAAGACAAAAAGGAAATCAATTCATGTCAATTCCATCTGAACAAAATATCACAAAAAAAATAAAATAAATGAATAAAAGAAAACAGAAAAA